GCTAAAAAAACTACCTTTGGAATAGACATCCTGATTTTAAAGTAAGTATCTTCATCTGTTTTAATTATATAATGATTAAGTTTGGAACACTGCATTAATCATAATTTAAAATCATGAAGATAAGAGGTAATGAGGATACTATGAATTTGTATTTTGTTTCTTGTAAAATTTAAACAAGTGTGCTTTTTTCCACATTTAAAATGTTTTTCTTCTGAGATCACTGTAGTTGGTTTTTAAATTTGCTAGATCTTAGAATATGACTCTTGTAAATATGCTACTCTAAGAGATGCTTATTGAATTAGAAAGTTTCCATTTTTCTTGCTTATCCCCATTCTGTAGTCACTAGAACTGATACATATATTCTTTCATTCATTTAAGAAATATTTATTGCTCACTTACTGTGTTCTTGGCACTATTCTGGGCTCTGGGGATACAGCAATAAACAAGACAATTTTTCTTTTTTGTATTTTGTAAGGAAAAATACCATTTGTTTTTAAAATAAATATAGGAACGCCTGGGTGGCTCAGTCGGTTAAGCGTCCGACTTCGGCTCAGGTCATGATCTCACAGTTTGTGAGTTCGAGCCCCGCATCATGCTCTGTGCTGACAGCTCACAGCTTGGAGCCTGCTTCAGATTCTGTGTCTCCCTCTCTCCCTGCTCCTCCCCCTCTCACACTCTGTCCCTGTCTCTCTCTTTCAAAAATAAATTAACATTAAAATAATAAAACAATAAATATAAAATATATGCTAATCACTACTAAGTGTTTCAGGCATGGGGTAGCAAGAGATTAAGCTAAGAAAGTTATCAGAAGCCAGGTCTTAGAAATATGTTATGGACTTTAGCCTAATTGCAAATGGGGAGTCATTGAAAGTTTAAAACAAGAGAGGGCCATAATCAGATTTGCATTTCAGTGGATCACCTTGACTGAGGATAAAGCATAGATTGGTGGGAGGCAAGTCTGGTAGCAATGAAATTGGTTAGGAAACTATTTTCGTCATTTAGGCAAGTGCTGATGATCTTGGCAGTAGAGGTTTGAAAAAGAGAAGAGGACAAACTCAAAAATAGGATCCACTGTATTTGGTGGTTTCGTGTAGTTTAGGTTCAGGAAGGAGTCAAGAAGACTTCAGGTTTCTGGCTTTGACAATTAAATGATGGCAGTGCCATTAACAGCCAGGGAACAGCAGAAAAGGAGCAGTTCACTTTGGAACTTTTGAGTTTGACTGCCTGGGAGAACTTCAAGTGGATTCTTGGATACTGTCAGGAACTCAGTAGAAATTAGTTGGAGACACCATGTATGAGCTGATGCACTCCAAATATGTAATCCAACCTATGGGAATGGATAGTCTGGGGAGAAGATAGAAGAATGAAAAGGAAAAAGAAGGTATGCTGGAATAGAGCTCTCAGGAACACCGGCATTTAGGTTTAAAAAGGTACAAGGAAGAGGAAAAAATGAGCTTTAGAAAATTGGGAAGAAAACCACAAATGAGAGTTTGGTATTGGAGAAACAAAAGGGAAGAGAATATATCAAGAACATGTCAATAATATGAGATGTTACTGAGAGAGGCTGCCAAATGTCCTTGGGCTTTAGCAGGAGTTTATAGGCAATCTTGAGAGAGCAGCCCCAGTGCATCAGGGAAAGCTGAGCCAGGTTGTAGTGGGTGGAGGAATGGTGGGGGTGGGAGTGGGGGGTGGGGGAAGTGGCTGCAGGGAGAGACTGCAAATGCAGAAAATGCAGTCAAGAAGTTTCATTTGGAAGGCGTGGGAAGAAAGCTCATGGGACTCGGTGAAGGATGTAGAGGAAAGCATTGTTGTCATTGTTTTAGCAGTGGGAAAATCATTGGTATGTTTTTGGTGCTGATGGGAAGAACCCATCAGGAGATGGCATCTAGAGCACAAGTAGAGTAGTAAGTAGTCTTCAGCAAGAGGGATGCCCTTTCTAAGAGGGGGAAAGAGGAAACACAGTTGCAGATACAGTTATCTTGAATCCTAAGTGTCTAGAACAGTGCTTGGAAGAGAGTAGACACTCCAGAAATCTTTGTGGAGTAAGATGGAGTCCTCACATAGCTGCAAGGAACAGTGGAGCCAACCTCACTTCTAGGTAAGACATACTGGCAGAGGCACTTGAACAGGTAGGTACAGAGTGCTCAGCTCTGGGATAATAGCATTGAATTTCCTGATTTGAGAATGTTCTGTGTTTACCTAAGTTCTCAGGAAACACAGGGCTGAAGTATAGAATTTGAAAGGGTCCAGAATAAGGCACTGTGGCCTAAAAAATGATTTTGAGCTGAAGGCATTTGAGTTCCTAAAATGCCTTACCTGCCTAAAAGCAAAGCTTCCCAAAGGAATTCAGTTGTCATCAGCCTCCTCCTCAGAAGTACCCCTAATCTTCTCAAGCAGACATTGACACAAAACTATCACATCTTCCACCAGTTCTTCTGAGGGCCTATTCATCTCTCCAAAAAGTCATTTGTTTTTTCATAAGTGCCCTTCCTTGTCCTTCTAAGAAGTCATTTATTCTGCCAGAAGTGACCTCTGTCCATACTCATCCCCTATTTGATGGCAGATAAGCCCCACATTCTAACTACCTTGAATCGCAATTCTTTGTGAACTCCTGTGCGCATGTGTAAATCTCTTTTTTCTCTTGCTCATCTGTCTTTTGTCAGTTTCATTTGCAGGCATCAAATCCTTAACCTTAGAGGGTAGGAAGAGGGGTGCCTGGGTGGCTCAGTCAGTTAAGCATCAACCTCTTGAGGTTCAGCATCAATCTCTTGGTTTCTGCTCAGGTCACAATCATGGTTCTTGAGTTTGAGCCCTGCCCTGGGCTCTGTGCTGACAGTGCGAAGCCAGCTTGGGATTCCCTTTCTCTCCCCCTTGCACATTCTCTCTTTCAAAATAGATACACAAACATTTTTTATTTTTTTTTAATTTTTTTTTCAACGTTTATTTATTTTTGGGACAGAGAGAGACAGAGCATGAACAGGGGAGGGGCAGAGAGAGAGGGAGACACAGAATCGGAAGCAGGCTCCAGGCTCCGAGCCATCAGCCCAGAGCCTGACGCGGGGCTCGAACTCCCGGACCGCGAGATCGTGACCTGGGTGAAGCCGGACGCTTAACCGACTGCGCCACCCTGGCGCCCCCACAAACATTTTTTAAAAGGGGGTAGAAGGAAAAGTTTTTTTTTTTTTCTCTCTGATAAAGTGGCATGATGTTTTAAACTTCCTCTCAGATGGTTCACAGAGATAGCAAAGCCAGTATGGCAAAATATTGGGAATTGTTGAATCTGGATAAAGGGCATGAGGGAGTAATTTGTACTCTTTTTTTTCCTTTGTACTCTTCCTGAAACTTGCTTGAAATTGTTTCAAAATAAAAAAAAATTATTTTAAAAAAGAAGCAGCTTCTGCATTTATTATCATCTCTACTTTTTCATTTTCTATTTTATTCTATTTCCAATTTCAACACTTTTTATTTTCCAACTTAACTATGAATGGGAATAAGGAATTTGAGAGGGAGAGCTGCTTTTTGGGTTCAGGCAAATTGTATCTCTATGTCTCAATTTCTTTTTGAGAATAATACCTTCAAAACTATGCTATGTTAACTGAAATAATCACACAGCAATCACACAGTAAATGTTGTTCCTTCCCTTTCCAGGACCAATTCAAATCACAATGCCCTTATGAAACCTTCCCTCATCACCTCCCTGACAAAACTTACTTTGTATTGCACCATACATTTAACTAAGTGGCTTTTCATACATTACATCTTTCAGTTCTCCCAATAACCTTACAATCATTTTCTTTGTCTTATAGATTAAAGACATTTAATGGCGTTAAATGACTTGGCTAGGGTCAAACAGTCAGTCAGTAAAAATGCAAGGATGAGAACCAGGTTCTTTTCGTCCTAACTCTTGCGTTCTTTGTTTTACCGTAATTTGACATTTTTCTTCAAGTGTTTTTTTTTTAATTATAGTAAAATATACCATAATTTACATGACATAAAATTTGCCATTTTAACCATTTTAATTGTACAGCATTAAGTACATTCATATTGTCATGCACATTATCAGTACTGTTCATCTCCAGAACTCTTCATCTTGCAGAACTGAAACTCCATCCCCATTAAGCAGTAATGCCCATTCCCCCCTGTGCTCCAGCCCCTGCAAACCATCATTTTACTTTGTGTCTCTAGGAGTTTGACTATTCTAGGTACCTCATATAAGTGGAATCATATTTGTCCTTTTGTGACTGTCTTATTTAACTTAGGCTAATGTCCTCAAGGTTTATCTATATTGTAGCCTATGTTCTTACCAAGTTTTATAAAAATCTGTGCTCCTGGCATTCACCTGTAACTTAATGTGCCCTATTTCATTTCCCAGTTTATAAACTCCTTGAGGACTGTAACTCTGCTTATTCTTATTCTTGGCATGGCCACCCTCATAGTGCCTAGTTCATAACAGTAGTCACTGAGCTCTCTTGACTGGACGGCTACCGGCCATTCTAAAGTAGAAAGTGATCCTCCTCTTATATTGTCCATCCCAATTTCATGCCTCCTCTCAGCTGCTGGAGACAAGGAAATGGATGAGCATAATTGTTCTATTATTGCAGTGGAAGGCCAGATATAACACCAGAAGTTTCCCTGGGTTGGAAGGATGGCAGAAACATGAGTTTTTGTCATGTACAGTTAGCTCCCTGCTCACTGTAAAAATCATATATGCAATATTCTTTCAAAGAGGAAGGGGGTGGGATGCCTGGGTGGCTCAGTCCGTTAAGCATCCAACTTCGGCTCAGGTCATGATCTCACAGTTTGTGAGTTTGAGCCCTGCATCAAGCTCTGTGCTGCCAGCTCAGAGCCTGGACCCTGCTTCCGATTCTGTGTCTCCCTCTCTCTCTGCCCCTCCTCCACTCGCGCTCTGCCTCTTTCTATCTCTCAAAAATAAATAAAAATGTTTAAAAAAAAGATTTAAAAAATAAAAGTAAAAAAGAAAGAAATCTTTTAGTATCATGATGTAAGTGAGAGTTTCGTAATGTTTTTTTCCTCCCCTGAGAAAAATAAAAGTGACTCATCACATTATGGTAAGAATGAACTCTTTGGATGATTGATCATCCATCCTTGATGTTATCCGAGGGTGAAGTCGCATTTGACTTGTCATGCTAATTATTACATAGTTCCTATAAACATTAAAGGACAAAATGAGGAAAAATGGAATAAGAAATATTTTGAGTCCAGGTTTTAGCTCTGCCACCTACTAGTGACTTTGAGAAGGGGAAGACTTTGCAATCCCTTCTCACTAGCACACCCATGCTTCCACCTCTGTGGAGCGGCAGAACTTCAAGGGCAAACATGGCTTCAGAGCCCAAGAGAGAATGTAATGTGGTCAGGAGCAGCCCCAAGAAACTCAAAGACCTTCATCTTATCTGACAGGAGATGCTGCTGGACTGCATGCCACCAGTCCCACTCCTGAAGCAGAATGTTCAAGGAGTGTGTCCGAAAAGCAGAAGCTGGCTGCTCCAAGGAAGAAAGGCTATGCTTCAACCAGCCTCACTCTACTTGAAGAAAAGGCTCTCCCAGAAGAGAGGCAACCTGAAGGATTCACCCAAGTGTTTCTGAGCCAGGACCTCTAGCACACTTTGGACAGTGGTGGCATAAAATAATTGGAGGCAACCTGAAAAGTAAAGTTGTTGAATATACTAAATGACTTCCCTCTGTGTGTCTACAAAAGCCCCAGTAGCACATTTTTCAAATATGCAAGCTCTGAGGAGAATAGGAAACATACGGAATTTTAAAGGACCTCCCTTACTAAAGGGAAATCAAGCAGGCTTTTATTTTGGCAACATACTTATAACCTTAATCTACTTGTGGTTTTATGTAGTATAAGATATTTGTCATACTGGATTGGGTTTATTAAATCTCTTTTTTTTTCATTTTTCATTCTCAAATCAAAATGGGAAATGTAGAGAAGAGGTAGCTATTTAGAATGCTCAAAGGGGCTTCTGGGTGGCTCAGTTGGTTCAGCCTCCAGCACTTGATTTTAGCTCAGGTCATGATCTCACAGTTCGTGAGTTCAAGCCTGGCAACGGGTTCTGCGCTGACAGCATGGAGCCTGCTTGGGATTCTCTGTCTCCCTCTTTCTCTCTCTGCCCCTCACGCACGTGAACACTTGCTTGCTCTCTCTCAAAAATAAAACTTAAAAAAAAATAAAGCTAGAATGCTCATAGAACTTTGATAACATCACAGGTTTTTATTTTTTTATTTTTTTATATATAATTTATTGTCAAATTGGTTTTCATACAACACCCAGTGCTCATCCCAACAGGTGCCATCCTCAATGCCCATCACCCACTTTCCCCTCTCCCCCACCCCTCATCCACCCTCAGTTTGTTCTCAGTATTTAAGAGTCTCTTATGGTTTGCCTCCTTCCCTCTCTGTAACTTTTTTTCCCCCTTCCCCTCCCCCCTGGTCTTCTGTTAAGTTTCTCAGGATCCACATATGAGACATCACAGGTTTTGAGACTGAGGAACATTCTCCCAAAATATCAATTGGCACACACTTTTGGTGGCCTACTAAAAAGCCATTCCACTCTTTTACCTGCCGGCAAGGTCTGCCTTCTATAATAGAGGCTAAAAATGCCAGATACTCCCTCTCCTACCCTCTTTGCAGGTAATGCTGGCCATGTGGCTGAGGTTTGGTCAGTGAGCCTTTCAGCAGCACTCTCTCTAGATGCTTCTGGAAAGATTTTCCATCCTGATGAAAGCAAGATATTCAAATAGAGCTTTCTTTCACACCTCTTCCTTTCTGTCATTTCATAGGCTATTGAAGCTGTGGAGACCATATTGCAGCCATTAAGCAGTAGAGAAAAGCAAACATGCTGAGAACGGCAACATATGGCAATGGAAAGAGCCTGGGTCACTGACAGCACTGTTTAGCTCAGGATGACCATCTACCTCTAAACTTGTTAGGTAAGACAATAAAACTTCCTGTTATATCGGCCACCCTTAGTTGGGTATTGTTATTCACAGATGAAAGAAAGCATCTTAACTGATTCAGGAAGATTTTAAATACAGTTCAGAGGAAACTATTTTACACCAAATATTTACTAATTCTCCCTCACATATTGAGAAGTCATGTTAGTGAACATAAGCATATGAGAAAGTCCTTATAACATTGGGTTAAAGGGAGGCTCCCAGGGGCGCCTGGGTGGCTCAGTAGGTTGAGCGTCCGGCTTGGGGTCAGGTCATGATCTCGCAGTTTGTGAGTTTGAGCCCCGTGTCGGGCGCTGTGCTGGCAGCTCAGAGCCTGGAGCCTATTTCAGATACTGTGTCTCCCTCTCTCTCTGCTCCTCCCCCCTCTCCTGCTCTGTCTCTCTCTCTCTCTCAAAAATAAATATTAAAAAAAAACATTTAGGGGCGCCTGGGTGGCTCAGTCGGTTAAGCAGCCGACTTCGGCTCAGGTCATGATCTCACAGTCCGTGAGTTCAAGCCCCGCGTCGGGCTCTGTGCTGATGGCTCAGAGCCTGGAGCCTGTTTCAGATTCTGTGTCTCCCTCTCTGACCCTCCCCTGTTCATGCTCTGTCTCTCCCTGTCTCAAAAATAAATAAAAATGTTAAAAAAAAATTTTTTTTTAATTTAATATAAATAAATAAATAAATAAATAAATAAAAATAAAGGGAGGCTCCCAGCATAGAACCCTGAGGGTTGATCTGGTGATGTCTCAGGTTTTGTTGTTCATAATGTCTGAGAAAAGACATACTATAACAGTGAAAATGTATGTTAGGAAAATTTTTTGGTTTAGCCAAATTTATTGACACAATTATTGGAAAACCATTCAAAAATAATTGGTTTAGGTTTTTAGAGCAAAGATAACTGCCAATCTTAATTATTCAAGATTTTTTTTAAGGATCTAATTCAAATGTGTCATTTATTCTGATTGTAATGAGAATTTTATTTAAAAATTTTTAATGTTTATTTTGAGAGAGAGATAGAGCATGAATGGGGGAGGTGCAGCGAGAGAGGGACACACAGAATTTGAAGCATGCTCTAGGCTCTGAGTTGTCAACACAGAGCCCGATGCAGAGCTCGAACTCACAACCTGAGCCAAAGTCGGACGCTTAACCGACTGAGCCACCCAGGAGACCTGTAATGAGAATTTTAAATTGTCCTATTTGAAATGCCATTTAAATTTTCAAGATTGAAAATAGAATTTATAAACAAAGCAGCTTTGAAATTGTTTCTGTAATGCCTTAGAAAACTCAGATATCTGACCTTATATTACACTTAGTAAAACAGAAAAGGCCATTTGCTGATAAAATATTGTCATTCACAGATAATTACATTACGTAGATTTACGTAATTTATGTGGAACCCACACATTGTATTTATAGATTTGGAAAACTTTATACTTAGCAATTGTCCATTTTACTTCTCCATTTATTTGTTGTGATAAGACATACAATTTTCCCAAAATGTGTTAGATCAAGTTGAACAAATGAAATTAATATGAAAATATCTATTAAAGGATGTTAGTGTCCAAGCTGTCCATCTTTTCTGTCTGTCATCCATCTGGACATAAAAGAGTTTGTTAAACAGAATTAAATATACCCTATGTACCACACCAGTGGTTCTCAATCAGGAAGATTGTATCCCCTAGGGAACATTTCACAAAGTCTGGAGACACTTTTGATTGTCACAACTGGGGAGGGAGCAGGGTGCCACTGGCATCTGATGGGTAGAGGCCAAGGATGCTGCTAAACATCCCACAATGCACAGGACAGCTCCCCAAAAGAAAGAATGATCCTGACCCAAAATGTCAATAGGGTTGGAAAACTCTGGTCTACAACAAACACTTTGATGTTTAAAATATAATACAGGGGTGCCTGACTGGCTTAGTCAGTAGACCATGTGACTCTTGATCTTGGGGTCCTGAATTCAAGCCGCACATTGGGGGTAGAGTTTACTTTAAAAATAAATAAATAAAAGTAAAAATCAAAATATTAAATAAAATGTATCACAAACTCATTCTTCATAATCCCTGCAGAGGAAAGAATAGATTATTATTGTTTTAAAGTCATCTCAAGAGATTCTCAGGGGAAGCCTTGATTCTTAGAAACTGTAAAATATAGGTTGAAGCTTGTATGCATTTTTTGTTTCTTTGTGTGTGTGTTTTTAAGTTTTTTAATGTTTATTTAATTTTTGAGAGAGAAACGGAGACAGGGAGCAAGCAGGGTAGGGGCAGAAAGAGAGGGAGACACAGAATCCAAAGCGGGCTCCAGGCTCTGAGCTGTCAGCACAGAGCCCAATGTGGGGCTCAAACTCATGAACCGCGATATCATTACCTGAGCTGAAGTCAGATGCTTAACCAACTGAGCCACCCAGGTGCCCCTGGGTGTTTTTTCAAAGTAATCTCTACACCCAACATGGGGCTCAAACTCACAACCCTAAGATCAAGACCCAGATGCTCCACTGACTGAGCCAGCCAGGCTCTCCTGTATCATTTGTTTTATATGAGAAATTCCTTCTTTTTATGTTATAATATCTTCTTTCAAGTAGATAGAACTTAGATGGAGCCTTCCTTCCTGGAACTCCATCTTTAAAAAATAATTGTGGGGGCACCTGGGTGGCTCAGTTGGTTAAGCGTCCAACTTCCTCTCAGGTCATGATCTTGAGCTTGGGGAATTCGAGCCCCACATAGGGTTCTGTGCTGACACCTCAGAGCCTGGAGCCTGCTTCGAATTCTGTGTCTCCCTCTCTCTTTGCCCCTCCCCCACTTGCACTCTGCCTCTTGCTCTCTCAAAAATAAACATTAAAAAATTGTTTTAATAATAAAATAAAATAAATAAATAAAAATTGTTGTTGGGGCACCTGGGTGGCTCAGGCGGTTAAGCATCCAACTCTTGATTAAGGCTCAGGTCATGCTCTCCGGGACATGAGATCAAGCCCTGAGGGTCAGGCTCTGTACTGCGCATGGAGCCTGCTTAAGATTCTCTCTCTAAAAAAAAAAGAAAAGAAAAAAAAATTGTTTATCTCATCTGTCTGGAGGTGAACCTGAACTTTACTAACATTGCAAAGTGTTCTTCCTAAGGCGTGAATCTATAGATGTGAGTTTAGTGTAAATTATATAGCAACAGGAAAATGAATTAGAAAACTTTCTTTGTGCTTCTGTATTTCCCTGTCCATAGACTAGAAACCTACCTTTCTTGTACAATGTGAAAACATTTTACTTGGAAAGAAAGTGACCATTCAAATCTAAGATCTGATATGATAGAGAATGTCAAGAACACCTAGTTCATGTTAACATTCTTGGTATTCATAATTTAAACGTCTTTTCTTTTCTTTTTTTTTCAACGTTTATTTATTTTTGGGACAGAGAGAGACAGAGCAGGAACGGGGGAGGGGCAGAGAGAGAGGGAGACACAGAATCGGAAACAGGCTCCAGGCTCTGAGCCATCAGCCCAGAGCCCAACGCAGGGCTCGAACTCACGGACCTCGAGATCGTGACCTGGCTGAAGTCGGACGCTTAACCGACTGCGCCACCCAGGCGCCCCAAACGTCTTTTCTTTTTAATCGAGAGTTGGCATACATTTCGTATGCCTTTGAAAATTTAATCTGGAACACAGAGAAGGAAATTTGTTTTCTTTTTAAAGATCTCTAAGGAAAGTTGTTCCACAATCCATCAGGTTGTTCTAATATCTAACCTGTATGAGGTATCACATATTATAATGTAGACTGATATAACTAGTTTGGAAGGCAATTTAGCAATATTTATCAACTAACCTCATAAATGTCCATGGCCTTTGAGGCAGTAATTCCTTTTCTGAGAATTTATCCTGAAGTAATTATCCTAAATGCACACTAGGCTTTCTACACGAGATGTTCCTGAAAGTGTGTTTTACCACAGTGAAAAACTAGAAACTCCTAACTGTACCACAACCAGAATAGTAGAATGGGTAGATTAAATTGACTAACTTTATGTCAGCTTTATGTCCACGTAAAGATATGAAAAATTGGGGTGCTCTGCTGGCTCAGAAGAGCATGTGACTCAATCTCCAGTCATGGGTTTGAGCCCCATGTTGGGTGTAGAAATTACTAAAAAAATAAATAAACTTAAAAATTGTTTTACAGAACACATGTGATAACATGGGGCAATATTTTTTCAGTAAAAAATAAAATAGGATATGAAACATTGTTCGCTGCATGATTATAATAGCATGAGAAAAAAATCATTTGAGCCCACACAGGGACACCAAAAAAGAAAGAAAGAAAGAAAGAAAGAAAGAAAGAAAGAAAGAAAGAAAGAAAGAAATCAAGCAAAATCCTGTAAACTCATGTAATCAAAGCTATTTACCCAGAAATTCCACTTCTAAGAGATTATCCTAGGGGAATGATTGGTATAAAGAAATTAATCACTAAGCAATAAAGTATAAACAACCTTAATGGTTTTTTAGTAAAAAAGTGGAAACAACTCAAATGTCATGTCTATATGGATACCCCATATGTTCACTATTAAATTTGATTTTCTCCTATTAATCTGTCTCATGTCAATTTGATTCTTAGTACAGCTAGAGGGTCTTGAAGGGCAGAGGAAATTCTTTCTCCCCAACGGTTGGCACATTTTGCAGTACACTTTCTACTCGTTGGACACCTCTTGACCTGACATTGCTGCAGTTGAGAGATCCTTGGGACAATGACATTCAGCTGGCAGCAGGTGAAATTTCTTACCAGGTGAAATTCCAGCCTCCTGGAATGTCTGTGTGTGGAGGCAAATGGAGCCAGAGTGGTAAGAGGTCTTTTTGTCTCTTTCTTAATTTAGATTAGCAGGAGAAAATCCTTGTGGAACTAGTTTCTTGGACTAGGTTACTCTTTGGTTAAATTTAGTAGAGTACTCTTTGGTTCCTGATCCATTTCCTCCCAGAGATGGTCTTTGTTTTCCTCTGTCTGTGTCTTTGGTGTCTTTAATGCGCACATGAAGTAAAGGCTGTTGCTCACGGACATGTTGGAAGCCAAAGCTGCAAAATTGGTGGGCACCGGTCGAGCACTTAAAAGGTGTTAGAGTGCTCGCCACCTCAAGAAGACTCCCATGTTAGGAAAAGTTTGTCACAGAATGGGTTAGATTGACACTAGGTCACCCCTAAATCTCAAGAAAACTTCCATGCAATGAGATATACTGTAAAACAACACAAAATCCCCACACATCCCTCCTAGTTATTAGGGTGGCTGTGGCTCCAAGAGACCCAAGGTCTAGCCAAGGCTGTTTATGTGCGCATAAGAGATTTGTCCTTTCATCTTGTTCTATGTTCTAAGAATGTAGCCGGTGTGAAGGGGTGCAAGAGCACCTGGCTTCAGGGGTCCCAAACAAGATCCAGAGGCAGAGAGATGAGTGCTGGTGGAACAAGAAAGGAATGTACTTCAGTGAGGCCACCACCCAGAAGACAGCAGACTAGCATCTCAGACTGTCTGCAAAGTGCTACAAACACTTCAGGTTTATATAAGGAAAATGTGGGGCAAAGGTGGGTGGGTACCTGTAGGTGGGCAGTGAAGGTCAAGTCTATCACTGTCTTAGAGTCAGTCATGGGTGGGGTCTTGCTGGGGCGGGGGCAGTCCTTATTGCTAGAGGGGCTAGTTTTGGTTCCCATCAGGGGATGCTTTGCCCACAGGATCTTCTGTCTGAGTTAAGAGATAAGCTAGAAAGAAGAACTTGATCAGTTAGAAAGTTTGAGGTCAAAATGGAAGTAGTCAAAGTCCTCTTTCAAGAGCTTGACTTTGTGACCAGTGAGAATATTCTCTTTGGTCTCCACCATTCAGAGGGTGCACTTTCCAGAGTTCTGCAGGGGATCAGTCAAATAGACTGGGGATCCAAATATCTCTCCTCCACCCCACCGACTGTGGGAAGTTTGTCATAAGAGGTTCCAGCCCAGAGGAACCTTTGTTATATCAATCTTAGTTGCTTGTCAGTGTTGGAAAGTTACATTCCAGTAGCACCTGCCCTGTGTCACAAATGAGGGAGTCTTTGACTAAAGGCATCTCACCATTTTGTGAGGACTAGAGACACCATTTTCCCTACACCATCCTCACCACTTGTGCAATGAAGTCCTTTGCTTTGTTAGACTAATTTTGGGAGTAAACTTTTGAATCATGGGGGCCGTGTAATCTATATCCTCTTTGGATGCCTTGCATCACTGGTTAAACCATTAAGGCTTATTGGTTTGAGTCGCTGTTAATAGATCCTACTCATCAATGGCTGGAGGATGGATACTTTAAATTGGCTATATTAAAAAAAAGTCTTTATAGAGAGCTCTCAACTGTCTTATTAGTATAGTGGCAAGCCTTAAGGACTCCCTTGATAAGATGAAATAACAAAAATCAGACTTAAAAATAGGGGCACCTGGTAACTCAGTCAGTTAAGCGTCTGACTCTTGATTTCGGCTCAGGTCATGATCTCACAGCAAGGAGCCTGCTTGGAATTCTCTCCCTCTCTCTCTGTCCCTCCCCCACTTGCACTGTCTCTGTCTCTCAATATAATAACTTAAAAAAATTTTTTTAAATCTCCCTGATATAAAGAATGAAATTTAGTTAAAAAGATAGGCCAGTCCCTTGATATTCAGGATACAATCTAGTTCGTTAGACAATTAGAAATAACTGTCTTACAAATCTCTACAAAACCAGAAATGCAACTCTAGAAACAAGTCAAAGCATACCTATCTTTACCATTCCCTGAACCTCACCTATTCCTCTCAAAATATTTGTAGATATTATAAAAGGTCTGGATATTGGAACAAAATTGTCCTGTACTGAAGAGAAAAAAGGAAAATTTGTAAATCACAGTTATCCTGAAATTCTAAGAGAAAAAAAAATTTTTTTTAGATTCTCTGTCCCTTAAAATCAAAATAAATCTTATGTCTTTGAAATGTAAACAGAGTGCTCACTTTGGCAGCACACGTACTAAAATTGTAATGATACAGAGAAGAATTAGTATGGCCCTTGAGCAAAGATGACACACAAATTGATGAAGCATTTCAGATTTTTTTTAATTAAAAAATAAAAAAATAATAGGGGCACCTGGATGGCTCAGTCCGTTAAGCTTCTGACTTCAGTTCAGGTCATAATTTCACAGTTCTTGAGTTCAAGCCCCACATCAGGCTCTCTGCTGTCAGCACAGAGCCTGCTTAGGACTCTCTGCCCTCCCTCTGTCAGCCCCTCTCCCCCCCCCCCAAATAAACATTTTTAAAGAATTATAAATAAAATAAAATAAAATAAAATAAAATAAAATAAAATAAAATAAAATAAAATGTAAACAGTGCCTACTCAAGAATGGGGAAAAAAAGGGCTGTGTGTCAGTGTGGGATCGGGGAGGGAGAGGCCTTTTTAAAAGGCAAACTGCTGATAGACCTCTTAAGCCCAGACTCTAGTGGCTCTTATAACAGGCAGATATGTTCCAAATCTCAACCTTGGAGAAAACTTGGATACTCTGTGCCTTTGTGATGTAAATGTTCAATTCTCATCCTTTCTAGGATGTAAGTCATTTTTTGAAATGCAACTTCTGGGGAGAAAATTTTCAACAGAAAAAAAAAATGGTGGCATTTGGAAATTGAGCTCCTAATGTTTTCTCCACAAAGATTAGTAAAAACAAGCTATAAGATTTTTTATTGCATCTTGTCTGTGTATGTGTGTCCATATATGTTGTAAATGTGTAATATTTTCGCTACCTCTTGATAGTCTTGCCAAAATTAACTTGTAAAAACGCTCTATGTGGTTGGTTTGAAGGTAAGCACTTATAAGATTGGACATTTAAAACTCAGAAAGACAGAAACTAACCCAAATGTTTTTCAGGTTCACATGATCTGGGGAAATATTCAATATTAAAGCTAATTTAAGGTTGTTGGTTAAATTAAAATACACATGTTTTTAGAGTTACTAGCATTAAATATAGAACTTTTAGTCTGCCTATGTTCACTGAAAGTCAAATAAATTCATTATTTCTATTGCAAAATTTGTCCAAAAAAACACCCACAATCATGGTTGACTTTGTCTAATGCCTGATAAAGTTTTGTGACTAATCTAAACATAATTGTTAGAAACAAGTAAATTAAATAGATGTAAATAAAGTAAAAAGGTAAGTAAACTTTTAAGTAGCTTCAAAATCTTTGATAACATGAAACTTTAAAATTTTGCTGTTAAATAATGAGTTAGGTTAAATGTATTGATTACCTAAATCACTTCGAAGTAAGATAAAATAATAAAACATCAAGTATGAAACATAAGTTTATCTGTTTTTGTCTTATCGCAGAGAAACTAAAGATGAATATGGGTCTGTTAGTAAACTTGGTTTGTGCTTTATTTAAATACGGTACTATGGGGGCGCCTGGGTGGCGCAGTCGGTTAAGCATCCGACTTCAGCCAGGTCACGATCTCGCGGTCCGTGAGTTCGAGCCCCGCGTCGGGCTCTGGGCTGATGGCTCAGAGCCTGGAGCCTGCTTCCGATTCTGTGTCTCCCTCTCTCTCTCTGCCCCTCTCCCGTTCATGCTCTGTCTCTCTCTGTCCCAAAAATAAATAAAAAACGTTGAAAAAAATTAAAAAAAAAAAGAATAATCGTATAACTGATGGTTCACAGTTACTACTTCGTTTTCACTAGAAACTAAGGTTTCTAAAAGTTCTTAATTCTAATAAATGTAAATAAGACTACTGGAAATAATCAGGGAAACAACTCTGTTTGCAGGGAAATAAGATGTGTGTTTTTGGTAAGAAGTAGCATAAGAAATAGAAATACACTTTTGTTGAGGGAAAGAAAATAATTTCGTCCTAAAATGGGGCCAGTTATTTAAACTGAGGACAAAATATGAATGTAAAAACAGTTGTAAAAGATTTACTGAAAAAGAATCTTTTGAAAGGAATTTTATGTGCAGTCAGTACTGGCTAAGATTAACATAAATTTAAGTAAGTAAATGAATTTTAATATCAAATATTAAAATTGTGTTTTTGTTAAAAGGACAAAGTTTTCTTGAACTATTCATCTTTTTTTTTTTTAATGTTTATTTTTGAGAGAGAGTGCAAGCAGGGGAGGGGCAGAGAGAGAGGGAGACACAGAATCAGAAGCAGGCTCCAGGCCCCGAAACTGTCAGCCTGGAGTCTGCCTGGGGGCTTGAACTCACAAACCATGAAATCATGACCCCAGCCAAAGTCGGACACCCAAGCGAATGAGCCACCCAGGCATCCCTATTCATCTGCTCTTAATAAGAAATTATAAACAAAAGTTTTTCTTTATCGTTAAAGGTATCTGCCTAAAAAAACCTAAAGATTCTGTGTTTTGTCAAAATAATTTCCTATTTTTATTGGGTCTGTGATTACTTAAAAAAAACCTGAGTCTTAATATTAAAAAAGCTAAATTTTGCTCACTACTATGTAACCTTCCGTATTTGCCTTTAATACCTTTTATTGTCACTTTGGTTAAATGGATAAATATTGTTTCATAATATTTTATGATTTTATTTAATCACATTTTCAAACCTTTTAATAGTTTTTTGACATACTTCCCAAAATCACAGTCTAAAATTAAGTCTTTTGACCCCAATCTCACCAAGGTGTTTCAGAGAGTTCCTGGAACATTTCAAAGATTGTATGAGACATTAAACAAATTAGGCTTATTTAGTATGTTAAATTACATCAGAAGACTTGTCAAATAAGTGATACTAAACCCTCTTAAGATTATATTTGTGTAGATGCTATTGTGTATAAATGTTATTAGGATAATTCTAAAAACTGTATGAAACTCCTAGAAATCTGAAGTCCTGGTATGTTATCAACTTGAAATGTTGTGTGTCACAGACATAACCAAATTTTCTTCCTTTTTTTTTTAATGTTTATTTATTTTTGAGAGAGTGAGAGAGAACAAGCAGGGCAGGGGCAGAGAGAGAGAGGGAAGGAGAGAATCCCAAGCAGGCTCTGCACTGTCAGAACAAAGCCTGACTCAGGGCTCATTCTCACAATCCATGAGATTATGACCTGCGCTGAGATCAAGAGTCAGATGCTTAACCAACTGAGCTACCCAGGTGACCCCATAACCAAATTTTCTTGTCAATTACATTGTAATGAACTCTAATTACATCTCTGACCATGGCCACTTTTAAGTCTGGTCATTTACAGTTACTGTTTTACTCTGATGATGTTGCAAATGTGTTTCATATTAAAGATATTCATAGAAAACCTCAAAGTATAGGTTTCTGATAACCTTAGGATCCTAAACTGATCCTAAACTGAACTAAGAATTTCTAAAACTAGAGGGAAAACTGGATTTAAGCAGAATGAAAATTAATAACATGAGACTCAATGAAGTGAGGAAGTAATTGTAATTTTTATGACTTTCTGTTTATTTTTTTAATTTTTAAGAAATGTTTTATTTTTGAGACAGAGAGAGAGAGCACGCCAACGTGCACACGCACCCAGAGAAGGAGCAGAGAGAGGGAGACAGAGTTTCCAAAGCAGGCTCCACACTGACAGCAGAGAGTCCAATGTGAGCCTGGAACTCATGAACTGTGAGATCATGACCTGAGCCGAAGTCGATGCTTAACCAACTGAGGCACGCAGGGGCCCCATGACTTTCTGTTTAAAATGTTACTGACTCTTTAAAAAAAATGCTTTGTTTTTCCAATTAAAAAAAATTTTTTTTTCTCATAGGGTGAGAAACTGACTGGTTGGCTCTTGATCTCAGCTCAGGTCATGATCTCACATGGTTCTGGTTCTGCACTCACAGCACAGAGCCTGCTTGGGATTGTCTCTCTCCCTCTCTCTCTGCCCCTCCCCCATTTTTGTGAACACTCTCTCTCAAAATTAATAAACTTAAAAACATTTTTTCTCTTAAGCTTACTGATTTACAGCAATTTGATAAAATATACCTTTGTGAACAAATTGAAACATTTATCTTTTGTTCCTACCTGATGCCTCCAGAATTCAGAAACTGTCAGTTGAGTGTTCTTATATGTATTTTTTAAGATTAAAAAAAAAATTTAAAGATTTTATTTTTAAGTTATCTCTATACCCAACATAGGGCTCAAATTCACAACCCTGAGATCGAGTCTCATGCTCCACTGACTGAGCCAGCCAGTCGCCCCGAATGTTCTTATATTTTACTTTTTTACAAGTTATTTATTTATTTTGAGAGAGTGAGCTTGTGTGCAGAGGAAGGGCAGAGAGAGAGGCAGAGAGAATCCCAAGCAGGCCCCGCACAGTCAGCATAGAGCCCGACATGGGTCTCAATCCCATGAATCATGAGATCATGACCTGAGCCGAAATCAAGAGTCAAAGGCTTAACCGACTGAGCCACCAAGATGCCCTTCAACTGATCTTCTCACTGCACTTATATAAATGATCAGGCCAAGGTGTTTTGAAACTAGACTTATTTAGCAAATAGATTAGTATTAATTAGGCTATCTTTGGTAGAATGAGGGTGATTATAGAGAGAAAATATATTTCAATAACACACCAAGTAAATATTAGATTCTAATACTGTTTCTTATAAACTAGACCAGATCCTGATTTCTTCTAGTTTCTTCCAATGCCTGGCTACCATTCTCCAAAGTAACATTTCTGAGTCTTTTCCCATCTTTCTGAGTTGGATACATTTGAGAACTAAGACTATCCTTTCTCTTGAAGCCCTGCGAACTAAATAGGAACGACTTAATGTAAACTTCAGAGAAATCTCCACAGTAGCTCCCATACAGGCAACCTTTATGCCTGTTGCTCTGTGGGCCTTTCAGAAGGATCACCACAGGCCACCTGGCTGGCTCAGTCAGTGAAACACAGGAGTCTTGATGTCAGGGTGGTGAGTTCAAGTCCCACATTGGGTATAGAGCTTACCTAAAAAAAAAAAAAAAAAAAAAAAAAGAAAGGAAGGAAGGAAGAAAGAAAGAAAGAAATTAGGTTTCCAGAAGTATGTAATTCTAACAGAAAGAATGTCAAATAAACTCCTCTTTAAAAAAAAAAAGAAAAATGAAAAAAGATCACTACAAACACTTGAACTATAAACCGAGAAAATCTATCAGACTGCCACCACCTGCTGTCACTCTATCCACAGATGATTCAAGCTTGACATCTAGAAATCTCAACTGGATACCCTCAGAACTCGCAAACTGGTTTATAATTTGATCCAAACATTGACCATTTTTTTTTCTTTTGTTTCCATAGAAATGCCTCTTATTTAAAACCTGATTGCTTAAACCATAGGCCCAACTTTGAGAACACAGCTGCATCACTGTCTCCTGAAATGGGTTTAACTGAACTGACTTATTGCAAGGACTGGTCCACCAAGACAGAATGATCTACCTGCTCAACTTTTATACGTGAAGCTTAAGGGAAGTGTCAGAGGAGGGAACTACAGGGGCCAAGGGCAGTATGCTCCAAGATGGCCCACTCTGGCATGAACATTATTTCCAGTCAAAAGCAATCAAAACCCAGCAGGGTAAGGAAAAACTCTTTATCCCCCCTCAACTGCCTGCTGATACCAGAAAGACAGCTATTTACAGAGATTCCTCTCTACCTAAGAAACTTATCCACATAATAAGACAACTTTGTTTTTTTTGCAAAACAAAACTCCTCTCACCTTTCTGTTAATAAGTTTTTCTCCCCCTTTGTATCCTCAGACCCCTACCCTGCTCCTGAGCTCATATAGCCTCATGTTGCTTGACTATCTTTGGAATTTCCATGTCTGTGGATTCCCCCATACCTATGGAGTTAAATTTGATTTATTCCTGTTAATCTGTCTCATGTCAGGGCACCTGGCTGGCTCAGTCAGTGTAGCATGTGACTCTTGATCTCAGGGTCATGAGTTCAAGCCCGACACTGGGTGTGGACCTTATGTTAAAAAAAAAAAAAAAAAAAAAAAAAATCAATCTGTCTCGTGTCAATTTGATTCTTAGTCCAGCTAGAAGGATCTTGAAGGGCAGAAGAAATTTTTCCTCCCTGACACAACCTTTCAAATTTACTCATAGTATCCTTAGCTTGGCTAAAAATGTAGCTTTCTTATCTAAGCCCGCTCTGATCTAACTTAACAAGCTTCCATATTCTAGGTGGAAGCTGGGAGGAGGGACAAGATCAAGTTCAATTTATTTTTTATTATTTTTTAATGTTTTTTTTTTTTTTTTTGAGAGAGAGAGAGAGCATGAGCATAGGAGGGGTAGAGAGAGGAGGCACAGAATCTGAAGCAGGCTCCAGGCTCTAAGCTCAACGCGAGCTCAACGTGAGGCTCGAACTCACACAAATGGCTCATGACCTGAGCCAAAGTCAGATGCTTAACTGACTGAGCCACCCAGGCACCGCCCAAGTCCAATTTATTAACCTCAATTCAATACTATAATTTAAAATGTTTTTGTAGGTGATCAGTCTCTACTTGGATAACTCTGTTAAGAACTCAACCTCTAAGATTTCTACCCCTCCCTAAACTCCTCTCCAAGAAGACATCCAGGTGTGAGAGGGAGTGTGGCTTTCATGACCTCAAAATGGCAAAGGGCAGATGTTAATCCTCCCAAAGAAAAGCACAATCCAGACCTCACCCCTTCTGTCCTCTGCTTTCCCAGCAACCTAGCTAACCTACTTTCTGCCCTAGTACTTTAACCTGGGAGGAGATCAGGACAGTTGTGTCTTGTGACTTCCCTCCCAGACTCTACCCCCTTTTCCCCTATAACTGACCCAGAATTGCTTTTCCCTTCATTCTTTACAGCCTGGAGTGTCTCCCTTCCATTCTACACTCAGGCCCTATGTATTAAAAAGGAAGGCTTTGTCATTTGGAAATCCCTTTCTCCAAAAAGCTTGGGTTTTATGTACATTGTCTTACTAAAAAAAGGTGAAGAAAATGAGCTTTGAAATTCAAAGCAGATGAATGCCCTCTCTGTTATGAGCAGCACCTGCCTGTCCTTTCTTTCTTGGGACAGTAAGCTTAATGACTCTATCAGAAGGCTAACAAGAAATAGGATTTAAAGGGGGGAATCAGGGGCGCCTGGGTGGCGCAGTCGGTTAAGCGTCCGACTTCAGCCAGGTCACGATCTCGTGGTCCGTGAGTTCGAGTCCCGAGTCAGGCTCTGGGCTGATGGCTCAGATCCTGGAGCCTGTTTCCGATTCTGTGTCTCCCTCTCTCTCTGCCCCTCCCCCGTTCATGCTCTGTCTCTCTCTCTCTGTTGCAAAAATAAATAAACGTTGAAAAAAAAAATTTTAAAGGGGGGAATCAAAATGCATTGACATAATTCCTATAAAATATGTTCCCCAGAGAGGTGAAATTGCATGAACTAAAGAAAGGAGATTCATTTTCTTGAAAGCCTGGTGAGATTCATCTCTTTTTCTTCATAGAGACAAAGTTTAACTTTGAAAAACATGACCGTAATGAAAATATAGGATGATTACGTGTCACAGGTTTTATGCATTAATGAAGAAAGAAGGAGGATGATAAATCTGGGACAAAGGAGAATTTGAAAGACAGAGATTTATATGTTCAAAAAGGGAAAGCATGCTAAAATAAGTTTGCTAAATTAGAAGCAAAATAGGACCATAAAACCAGAAATTCTGCACAGAAATGTTTTGCATCTCTCCTGGACAAAAATCTACAAGTTAACTTGTCTGAACTTTAATCAAGCAACAGTGCATTCCTCTGAAGAACTAAATAACTCTTGAGTGGGCCTGTTAGATAAAGACCTTGAAATAAAGCTTTAGTCCAACATTCAAAGGACAAGCAGTCATCCTTTTGCTTTTGTTCCAAGTGTTGGGTAATTTTTCTTCACATTATCAAGTGTTGCATACACTCCACCCACCTTAACAGATACAAACTCAGTATGGTGGAAGCTGATGAAATAAAGAGCCACGAATGGATTTCTAAAGAGTCTACAGAAATAAAACATGTGGCTTAAAGCAAGGCCAGTTTTTGGCCTTAGAGACACAAATGAATAGGTATCTGTAAAAACCTAAAATGGTGATGTTGCCCCCAACCTACAGATTTTAGAGATATCTTATTACTCACAAATTACCCTTTCCGTAGCATCATAATCTAGATATATCTAATTGGGTATAAATGATTCCATTACCAAAGCAGATTAATCAGGTTAAATGAAACCATAAGGGCATGTGATGATTTTTAAATGATAGGTTACATAAGTTACCACAGCCCACTTAACATATGCTATCCTATTAGTTTACCACAGTGACAAACATGATTTCATCAGTAATGCATATTCAGAGTTGGCTTACCTTTAAGGATTTTAGCACAGTTCACATATAAACCACTCTCCAACTGATAGTAGTTTCCAAAACAGATCTGGTTTTTAAAAAGTTCATAACCGCTCATTTTTAATCCCATCCTCCCTATTCAGATGGTTATTGAAGTATCCTCTTGATTGCAGAGCAATGAAAGAAAATGAAGATTATAAAAGAACAAAGTCTATCCTGAGTAGCAGTTTCCCCATGGAATTTTATTTTCTGAGTAGAGCACTAGATCATCTGATTAAAAAGCTCAAATTTTCTGAAACTTTCTATTGATGTCTATGGTGTGTAACATGAGCACGTTTCCATATTAAGGTTATTCAGCTGTGGCAAACACAAGAACTCATTCAAAGCTTTTCCTTTAAAGGTTGAAGAAACCTAAGACCACATGTTGGTGCAGCAATGAGAAATCTTTAAATGTCTGTCAGCAACTGGTCGGCATTGGGTTTTGTTTGGTTGGTTTGGGTTTTTCTTTTTTTCTTTTTTTTTCCTTTTTGTCCTGCAGAAAAGCAAAGACAAACATTTCAAAAAACATTGTAACTCAAAAGAATGACCAAAGCTAAGAAATTTAAGTAAGCGTGTCACAAACACAAGAACATGGATTTTGTTGGCTAATCCAAATAGATAATTAATCATGTTCCTGACAGTTTGGAATGCAGATTTGCCTGCTATTTGCAGAAACATTAACAAGCAGGCCAAGGGCTTTCTTGATTACTGGAAACTGGAGTGGCTTGAGGAGCTGTAAGTCAGTGATTTCAAGATCTACAGATTTTTTGGACCAGTAAAATTTCAAAATAATGTTGAAGACCAACATGGTGTTAACTTCTTATTTAGCCAAATAATATTGGGGGAGATATCTTAATATTTATAATTGGTATCCAATTATAAAATAGCCTTAAAAAAACAGGTTGGGTTTTTTGGGTTTCTTTTTTGAGGCTAGTTCACAAATGGATTCACCAGTAGATTTGGTGGTCAAGATATCTTTAAGGTAACCTTAACTTCTTTCCCAAACCTTTCCTTAGTGACTAACAAGCACATTCAAGTACCTGCCATCCATGACTGATCAAAATGAATGCTACTCCTGAGACAAGTGAATGTGACAGGATTAGACTTTGACTCTAGATAGGGTCTTGGTTCTTGAGAGTTCCTCCTTAGGATCATCCTGTCTTGAGGATTTTTTCAAATGGTGAGGAGATAGGAGATGTAAGCATTAACCAAATTCTGACTGGGTCATGTATTTGGCTTTCTTCTGATCTACATGACCTTAAAACAAAAATCCAGTCAAATTCCTTGAATGCCTATTATTAAGAGTGTTGTGCTGAGCTTTGGGGCAAGATTTCTCAAACTTAAGTCTTAATAAATAGAGCCTGAGAGCTTTCCAAAAGGGCAGACTTCTGGGTTTTGGTGCCATCGGTTCTTAATGAAGTTGAGATGGCAGCCCTGCAATCCCAATTTTTAAGAAGCATAATGTGATTTTGATGCACCTGGTCCATGGACCCCCATCTTGAGAAATGTTGTTCTAGGAACTCTGAAGAAGTAATACTTCCAATTTCAGTAATGGCACACTAGCTAATTCTGATCACCCTTCCTGCTGAACATAATTTACTAAAAATCTTCTTAGAAGCATCAAAAAGCTAACAAAATGGGAATGCAAGCTGGTGCAGCCACTCTGGAAAACAGTATGGAGGTTCCTCAAAAAACTGAAAATAGAACTACCCTACAACCCAGCAATGGCACTACTAGGCACTTATCCACGGGATACAGGTGTTCTGTTTCCAAGGGACACATGCACCCCCATGTTTATAGCAGCACTATCCACAATAGCCAAAGTATGGAAAGAGCCCAAATGTCCATCGATGGATGAATGGATAAAGAAGATGTGGTATATATATAAAAGGGAGTATTACTCAGCAATCAAAAAGAATGAAATCTTGCCATTTGCAACTACGTGGATGGAACTGGAGGATATTATGCTAAGTGAAATTAGTCAGAGAAAGACAAATATCATATGACTTTACCCATATGAGGAATTTAAGAGACAAAAAGATGAACACAAGGGAAGGGAAGCAAAAATAATATAAAAACAGGGAGGGGGACAAAAACATAAGAGACTCTTAAATACGGAGAACAAACAGAGGGTTACTGGAGGGGGAGTGGGGGGGGGATGGGCTAAATGGGTAAGGGGCACTAAGGAATCTACTCCTGAAATCATTGTTGCACTATATGCTAACTAATTTGGATGTAAACTTTTAAAAATAAAAAATAAAATAAAAATAACAAAACATTCACAAATTACTAGGATGAGATCTGGAAGAAAATGGAAATGCAGAGGGGTGAGCCTAGCCATTTTCAAACATGTTTACCTTAGGGTCATTAGCTGATCCTGAAGAGACATTTGAGAGGGTGAGCTGTCTGTTAGGCAACCTTATGGGATTAGGGAGACAAAAGTCAGATCAGGACCTGACAAAGGTGGACACCTGATAAACCACACCCTGTTCCACATGCACACAGTCCCCTACGAGTAAGGGTGAACTGGAAGTGGCTTGCTAAGAAAATCTCAAATCTTGAATTTGAACTAAAGTGATCCTGGAAAAAGCAAATGGCCATTCTCTCTAGAAGAAACATCAAACTGGGCATCAGTTTTTTCTACAAATAATCTTTCTAGCACATAGTCAAAGATAACTAAGTCTTAATAAGAGATAAAAAACCGTGAGCAAGAACCACTAGGAAAAATGAACAGCAAAACATAATGGGTAAGTTTAAATGAACATTGACTATGAAACTGTTATTATGATGTCCTGTGGAAATAGATATTTAAAATGCATGACAATAATAGCATAAAAGCTTAGGAGGGTGTTAAATATTCTAAATTTCTCACATTTAGAGGGGAGGAAAGATATCACTTAGCATTAGATATTTATAAGTGAAGGGTACATGCTATAACTAGGATAACCACCAAAAGAATAGAAGAAAAGTCGAGGATATCTAAACTAAAAGAGACTTTAAAATTGAATGATAAAAATTACCAATCCATGGGCACCTGGGTGGCTCAGTCAGTTAAGTGTCTGACTTTGACTTAGGTCATGATCTCATGACCTGTGAGTTCGAGTCCCCCGTCAGGGTCTGTGCTGACAACTCAGAGCCTGGAGCCCGCTTTGGATTCTGTGTCTCCCTTTCTCTTTGCTCCTCCCCTGCTCATGCTCTCTCTCTCTCTCAAAAATAAATAAACATTAAAAAATTAAGAATAAAATTATCAGTCCAAAAGAAGTCAAGGAAGGAAAGAAAATGGAACACAAGACAGGAAAAGTATCTAGGTGCTCCTGGATTGCACTTTGGGTTGTCTCCTGAGGGGAGAGATTAATGTATTCTATGTGTGTAAATAAAGGTATGCATGGGTATTTATTTAGATGGCCAGGGCTTTAGAAATGTCAAAGTTTGCTAATTGTTCCCTGTGTCCATTATCCCTTTCTACATTTTAGTTACAGAGCCCCTGTGAGTGTGAGCTCATCACATGGCTGCCCACCAAGATACTACATTTCTCAGTCTCCCTTGAAGGTAGGTGTGTGGTCATGTGACTGAGTTTGGCTGAATGGGATGTGAGTGAGCTCAAAGAATGTGTATTTATCTTTTTTTTTAATTTTTTAATGTTTATTTATTTTTGAGAGAAAGGGAAACAGAGCATGAGTGGTGGAGTGCCATAGAGAGAGGGAGACACAGAATCCCGAGCAGGCTCCAGGCTCTGAGCTGTCAGCACAGATCCTGACGTGGGGCTCAAACCCACGAACTGTGAGATCATGACCTGAGCCGAAGTCGAGCGTTTAACCAACTGAGCCACCCAGGCACCCCAATGTGTATTTATCTTTATTAAAGATGGAGCTTTGGGGTGCCTGGGTGACTCAGTCAGTTAAGCTTCCAACTCTTGATACCAGCTCAGGTCATGACCTTGTGGTCAAAATCTGCGGTCATTAGATTCAGCCCCCAGTCGGGCTCTGAGCTAAGCGCCGAGCTTGCTTGGGATTCTGTGTCTCTCTTCTGCCCTTCCCATACATGCGTGCACTCTCTAACTCTCTCAAAATAAATAAATAAATCAACATTTTTTTAAAAGATGAAGTTTTCTTGGGGTGCCTGGCTGGTTCAGCCATTAGAGCATGCGACTCTCAGGGTTGTGAGTTCGAGCCCCATGTTAGGGGTAGAGATTACTTAAAAAATAAAAAATAAATAAACAAAAAAGATGACACTTCTTGCCCTGATTTTTCCCACACCAATTGGGAAATGACAATGATTGGAACAATCCCTTGGGTCCTAAGAGGCATGCCGAGAATGGCAGAGCTCACTATCAGTCTATGTTCCTATATATCTTTATGGAACAGAGCTGCCCTACAGGCCCTGAACTGTTATATAAGAAAGAAAGAAACTCCTGTAATCTATAGCTATTGTACTTTGGAGTTCCTTTGCTACAGCAATCTTGCTCATGTCCTAACTAACACAGAGATGTGTTATGGAGTAACAAAGGTTAGTGGGAGAGGTGAGGGTGAGGAGGAAGCTGTTGTTGTGAGCCTTAATAGCAAGCTTAGGAGTCAGGACTCTAGGGGATTGGTGAGGTTCAGCACTGCAGAGGGACCACCAGGTGGTGGTACTATTGGTGGTGGTGGGGAAGCTGATTAAATGGCTTCAGCCACCTCTTGTGATTTTTATAATTCTATATCTCCAGAGATATCTTTCTCCAGAATTCCATGCCCTTATTTCCAAGGGCTGGCCAGACTTTCTCTCTGGAGGTCAAATAGGCTCCTCAAACTCAACATCACAAATCTTAGCTTTCCTCCCCAGAGAGCCTTTTCTTCTTCTTGTGTTCCCTATTCTGGTTAATAATTGCTCCCTTCAATACCACTCTGCACTCAGTTGTCCTCACTAGAAACTAGGGTCACCCTTGATTCCTCCTTCATCATCACACACAGTTTCTTATAGAGATAATCTACTTCCATTCTTTTTATTCATTTTGCTATTCTCATTGCCAATGTTTTGATTTGGGTCTCCATTATCTCTCACTTCAAATGTTGCAGTATCCTCCTTCCTAACTGATCTTTAATTCAGTTTTGTGTGTGTGTGTGTGTGTGTGTGTGTTTCTTTGTTTTTTAATTTGAGAGAGAGTGAGAGCATAAGCAGGGGAGAGGGGCAGAGGGGGAGAGAGAGAGAGAGAGAGAGAGAGAGAGTGTCTTAAACAGGCTCCAGGCTCAGCTGGAGCCCAATGCAGGGCTCCATCTCGTGACCCCAGGATCATGACCTGAGCCGAAATCAAGAATCAGATGCTTAACCGACTGAGCCACACAGGTGCCCCTCTAACTGGTCTTTCTCATGTTTCACATTGCTCTTAGGGCTATTTATCCAAAACAAACTTGACCATGTCACTTCAACCTGTTTGTACACTTTCTCCCTTTTCTTATAAGCCAAGGAGCCCAGACTCAGTACAGATCTGGTCCCCTTTCAAACCCCTATCAAGCCCCTTAATATGCTGGGTCTGAGCACACTGGGCTTTGTCAGTGTCCTCTCTACCTGGAGTGTTCTTGTCCTGTCCTTACTTAATGGACTCATACTCAGCCTTCAAAACCTAGCTTAAGTATGACTCATTGGAAAATTTTTCCAGGATCCTCTGGCTTAGTTACTTAGTTATTCCCATCTCAATAACTGAAGTTAATGAATTAATTAAAGATAGAATACTAAGAACTCTCTCAAAATAAGTAAATAAACTGTAAAAAAAAAAAAGTGGGGGGCACCTGGGTGGCTCAGTCAGTTAAGCATCTGACTCTTGATTTGGGCTCAGATCATGATCTCACGGTTCATGAGTTTGAGCCCCACATTGGGCTCCTCACTGACAGTGCAAAGCCTGCTTGCAATTCTCTTTCTCTCTTTCTGTCTCTGCAACCCCCCCACCATATGCTCACTCTGTCTCTCTCTAAATAAATAAATAAATAAACAAACAAACAAGTAGACTTTAGAATACTAAGAACTGAATCCCAAAGAACACACCTAGCAGAAAAATACACAACTTCAGAAGTACAGAATTTTACAACTAGAAAAGGAACTTCTAGATTTTACAGATTATTTTAATGTGTTTAGCATTAATTAATTAATTAATTAATTTATTTATTTATTTAAGAGAGAGCACAGGGGAGAGGGGCAGAGGTTGAAAGAGAGAGAGAGAGAGAGAGAGAGAGAGAGAATCTCAAGCAGGCTCCATGCTCAGTGCAGAGCCTGATGTGAAGCTCAATCCCAGGACCCCAGGATCAACACATGAGCCAAAATCAAGAGTTGAACACTCAACTGACTGAGCTACCCAGGTGCCCTCTTTATTTATTTATTTTACAAATATAAATACCTTTAATGAAAGCCAAGGGCAGTCCACAGAGCCCCGACAGCAGCTACCAGAGCAGAGTAGGAGGCAGGGATGCAGATTATCTTAATGTGTTTATAGACGAAGTTTAGAGAAGTTACATGACTTTCCCAGGATCAGGCAGCAGAACTAGAAGACATAGGTTTCTGGTTCCATTTATGATGCTGTTTTCCTACCCTTTGCTGTGAAAGTGTTAGAGAATAATTGAATAGAAAGGTTTGCGTGGAAGGTTGAGTTTTAAGTCTTGGGCATTTTGTCTTGTGGACTAGGTTGCATTTGGTATGAGATATGGAATGATGAAAATGTCAGTGTAACCTTGTCACAGAGATATTTATCTAAGTTATGGGCCATTTTCCCAGAGGGACAGATAGAGATCATGTGTACATACCAATGTGAACATTCAAAACCAGAGTATCCAGTTCAGAGGCTCTAACTACTTTTTTGACCCAGGGGCCCTTTCAATCTGGCTTCTAGAATAATGCTTTTTTAAAAAAATAAAAAAAGATTTTATTTCTAAGTAATCTCTACATCCATTGTGGGACTCGAACTTACAACCCGAGATCAAGAGTCACATGCTCCACCGACTGAGCCAGCCAGGAACCCCATAATAATGTTTTTGAATGCATAAAACATCAGACATAGGAATACTGCTATATGTACTTCTTCATTTAATGTACTAAATACAAGATCTAACAGCAGTCCGATAACTACCATGATTTTGAAGTAGCAATGAGCATAAACAATATTTTGATATCTGCAGCAGTCATGTGATATAAATGTATTTGTGATTTCTATTGGTGACACGTCACAGGACCTGCTAACAGGACTATGGTTTGATACTTACATTTGTAGTTGAAGGAGACACTTTTGTTAGAAATCACTGAAAATGAAGAGGAAATGTTTTTCTCTCAGATTCACTGATCTGCTAAACCCCAGGTTGAGAACCCCTGGGTTAGTCCAATCTCTTCACTTTAAAGGTAATCTTTAAAGTGAATCTTTAAAGATTCACTTTTATCTGCAATATGTAAAATGAGTTCAAATAAAATTAATTCAAAGAAAACTGTTGATGGAGTCTATGCAGTTGGCCTCTCTCAAATCAGCACACTTCCCTTAAGGAACTTGGAGTTAAAAAAAAAACACTTGGAAAAGTTGCCCTTAAACCATTTCAGCTTTTTTAAAAATTGAAGTATAATTAACATATAATATTACATTAATCTCATGCATACAGCATATTGATTCAACAATTCTGTGTATATACATACATATGTACATGTATGTATATATATATATGTATGTATGAGAGAGAGAGAAAGAGAGAGAGAGAGAGAGAGAGCAGGGGAGGGAGCAGGGGAGAGAGGCAGAGGGGAAGAGAGAGAATCTTAAGCAGGTTCCACACTCAGTGTGGAGCCAGACAGAGGGCTCGATCCCATGACCCTGGGATCATGACCTGAGCTAAAATCAAGAGTTGGACACTTAACTGAGCCACCCAAGTGCCCCTGATTCAACATTTTTATACGTTATTCAGTGCTTGCCATAATAAGTGTGGTCACCATCTATCACCAAACAGTGTTATTACAATATTATTAACTATATTCCCTATGCTATACTTTTCACCTTTGTGACTTGTTTTATAACTGCAAATTTGTACCTCTTAATCCCCTTCATCTATTTTGCCATCTCCCTCCACCCACCTCCCCTCTGGCAACCACTAGTTTGTTCTCTGTATTTAAGAGTATTATGGGGTTTGTTTGTTTTCTTTGTTCATTTATTTTGTTCCTTATATTCCACAAATAATCTAAATCATATGGTATTTGTCTTTGTCTGTCTGACTTACTTCACTTAACATAATACCCTCTAGGTCCATCCATGTTGCCACAAAGACCATTTCTGCTTTCTGCTCAGTGTTCCTGGTCCCTAAGGCCTGCTTGGTGCAAAGGCCCTTGGGGAAGGGGGGTTATAAGAACGATTTTCAACTTAGTATCTCAATGAATTATGCTGCCACCATACTAAGAACAAGAAATATGACACAATTAATTTTTGAATAAATGCCAATGAGTAGATAAATGATATATACAAATATCAAATCATTATGTTGTAGGCCTGAAACTAATATAATGTCATATGTCAATTATATCTCAATATAGAAAAAGGAATAATGTGAGTATAG